TTCATAACTTTAAGAGAAACTCTAAATAAATGCTGAAACACCACTTGTAACGATGCACCTGTAAATATCGGAGGGCAGCAGTTCTCAAGAAACGTGGTTCATAGCTGGGCATGGTGCGCACACCTATAACCCCAGCACTTGGAAGGCTGAGGCAGGCGGATCACAGTGAGCTTGCGGACAGCCTGAGCTATACAGTGAGTTCAAGGTCAGCCTGAACTAGTAGTAAGACCCCATCTCAAAAAACAACAACAAGGGGGCCAGGGATTTAGCTCAGCGGTTCGGTGGCCTGCCTTGTAAGCGCAAGGACCCAAGTCCAATCCCCAGTACCAAAAACAACAACAACAACAACAACAACAACAACAAAAAGTTGTTCATGGACTTTCACTGGAACTTGGAAATGCAGACTCTCAGGCCCTGCCTTAGGCTTACTACTCAGGAGCCCTAGAGTGGGCCAAGCTCTCTGTGTTTTAACAAGCCCTCCTGGTGAGTCTCATGCACAAAAACACTTGGGACCACTGACAGACGGGACCTGAGGTGGAGAGAGGTGGTAAGAAGCAGGATAAAGAAGCAATGAACCCGCCCAAGAAGACAAAGCTGCAACTAAAATACCAAATGTGCAGCATGTGGCGTGAACTCCCGGGTCCTGGACTTGGAAGAAGGAACTCTAAAAGACATAAAGAGAGAGTAAGAAAAGAGATGAGTTGGCACCATGGCAACGGCAGTTCGGGAAAGAAAAGTTTCCTTTCCAGTAGAGGCCTGAGTTGTCAGCGGCTCTTCGAGTTTCCTTCAAGAAGAACCCTGAGATGGCCCAGTCTTAGTCCCTTTTCTGTTGCAGTAACAGAATCCCTGAAATTGCAGGATGTAGAAAGAATGGAGGTTTGTGCAACTCGTGGTTCTGCGGGCTGGGAATTTCAAAAGCGTGGCACCAACATCTGCTCTCCCTCTGGGTGGGGAGGGCCTCGTGCTGCCTCGTGACATGGTAGAGGGCGTCACGTGGGAGGGAGCAAACCTGCTACTTCCGCCTGTCTTCTTTCTCTTGTACAGCCACTCGTGCCAAGGTGAGAGCCCCGTCTGCATGACCTTAACCCTAGCTCCCTCCCAAAGGCCTATCTCCAAGCGCCAGCACCATGCCTTTGGGATTAAGTTTCACCCAGACTTTCGTGCCAAGCCTCTCCATGGTCCTCTTCAGGAACAGCATTCTGTTCAAAAAATGACACAGAGGGTGGGGGATTGAGCTCCGTGGTGCCACACCTGCCCGGCAAGTGCAAGGTCCTTAGTTCTATTCCCGGTACTAGAGAGAACAAAGACGCATAATCCGAGTACCAACATCGACAGTAGCACATTGATACTGTGTCATTATCTAACGGTCCCTTTTCAGAGTCCGTCAGCTGTCCTAATGCTGTCCTGTTTAGATTTCTCTGCTCGTTCTAGACCTAGTCTAGGATCGCACATCACATGTAGTTTCGTGTCTCTTCAGTGTCCTTTGAGCTCTTCCTTATCTCCCATATCTGGAATACAAGTCAGCTATGTGTAGAAGGCCCTGTACTTTTTAGGCTTTTCTGACGTTTCCCGACAAGTCTCAGGTTACAGATTTGGGGCAGGAATACAACAGAAGTGATCTCTGTTTTTCTGTGCATTGTACCAAGAAGGAGGTGCCAATATCAGTCTGTCCCCGTATTGGCTGTCAGTTGTCACCACTTTGCCTCATCACTAGTCACTGGTCTGTGGGAATGTTTTGAGGCCGGATTCTGATCATCTGAGTCTTTGAGCAGCAGGACCTGCTCATTCAGTGATCAGAGCTGACTGCGTAGTTCATACGAGCTGTTCTTTTGTGCCTGGACTGAGGCTTCACGTCTGTGGCAGTCTGCGTGGGAGGGGGGATGTGACGGGGGTGGGGGGAGCAAGGATCACCTGAACCTGTGGGGCTGCGTTGGGACTCATGTGGGTCTCCGACTTTCAAGACGCCTGCTTTTGTGACAGGTGTCCTACTGGGCCTCCTCGTCATGCTGTTAAACAGCATAATGGCCAAAGAGTGAAAGAGGTGTAAGCAAAGACCCCACGGGTAGAGGAGCTGTCCAGCCTGCTGTGGGAGGCACCGCCAGGTGGCCGCCCGATCTCGGAGCTGCAATTTCGTCGCCCTTAGGTGTGAGGAAGAAGGACTGGTCCTCTGCTCCCTTCTTGTTCTTTGCACCTGGGCAGATTGGGCTCCTTGGACATGGGGAGTGAGAGAAAGTGTGTCAGGCTCAGCGACGTGCGTGATATAAATCCACCGAACTGTAGAAAGAGCTGGCCTTCAGCAAACTTTCAGCACTCAAGTTCTCTTTGCTGTTCCATCATTCTGTGTAAAGAAACTGCATTTACTGTCAGGAGGGCTGCAGTCGATTGCCTTCTTCTGGAAGGAGGATTTTTTTTCCTTCTTTCTCATTTATTTAGGGCAGATTTTATTTTGTTCCATTAGTTAAATTCTGTTTCTGTGTTTCTTTGTCTTAATGTCTGAGTTGTCCCAGATTTGGCCAACAGAGCCTGTTTGACTTGCTCTCACATCCTTTTGGTTTTGGTTTTGGTTTTGGTACCGGGGATTGAACTCAGGACCTTGAGTTTTTGAGGCAGGCCGAGGCACCGCGGAGCTACATCCCTGGCCCCACCTTACCTCTTTTTAACGTGACATTCTTTGAGTGCTTCCTTACTTCCTTGAAAAGATGTTCCAGGCTTATCTTGTGCTTTCTCTGTTTCTCAAACTTAAAAAAAAAATTAAAAGGGCTAAGGATGTATCTCAGTGAGAAGGTCCTGAGTTCAGTCTCCAATAGGAGGAAGTAGAGGGTGGTGAGGAAAAGAGGAAGAGGATGAGATGGTGGAGGAGGAGGGAGAGGAGAAGAGGAGAGTGACAATAACTGCACCCCAGCCTGAGTAGTGTACACAGACTTGGGAAGAAAATCCCCAGAGGTGGGACACTTGCTCCTTTTCCAGGATAAAACAATGGCTCCGATTGTATGCATGCATAGTGAATCTTTTTGTTGTGGTTTACGTCTAGATGTACCACTAAAGCCTCTTGCACTCGTAAGCAGCGCTTTTAACAAGTGATTGAATCATAAGGACGCTGTAGCTAATCTGATGTTAGGAGATACATCCTGAAGGGAAGAGAGGGGCTGCTGGGGTGTGACCAGGTAGGGGTGTCTGTCCCTCCCTGGCTCCTCCTTTCACTCTGTTTTCTGGCCGTCATGACGTGAGCCGCTTATCCTCTGCTATGGCCCTCTGCCGTGCTTTCCTGCCTCGGGCCCAGCTGACTGTAGACTGAAAAGATGAGACAAAAGAAACTTCTTGTTTTCTAAGTGGTGGGTGTCAGCTCTGTGTCCCAGCAATGGGAAAGTGACTAGGACAGATTTGTGGCATTGGGGAATAAAGAAATAAAGCAGCAATCGTCCTAATAACCAGAGATCTTGAAGCCGAACTCCCCAAATGACCCAGGTATATCAGACTGAAAGCAAGTTTCCTTGCTGGGTAGCCTCTGGATAGAAAAATATTAATGACAGAGCTCATCCAGTCAATAAATAGCAAGAAGTACTAAAATTCACAGCAGCTGATAGAAGACTTGAGTAGCTGAAAACGTTCAGTAAGGTATATTCACAGTAGCCAGCAAAGTGACAGCTAGCATTGAGGCAAAAGCTGGGAAGGGTATCAGTTGAGCACCCTTACTCCAGGCTACACAATCCACAATGCTCCCAAATACGAAGCTTTTGACTGCCAATAAGACATCGCAAGTACAAAATTCTACACATGACTTCATTAGATGCACTAAAAGTATTGGATAAAATTACCTTCAAGCTATGTGAATAAGCTGTACATTAGAAATAATGACATCTATAGTTAGACGAGGGTCTTCTCCCCATCATGTACATGCAAATATTCTGAAAAAAATAATCCCAAACACTTTTGGTCCCAAATATTCTGATAACAGACACTCAACCTATATTTACAAAATATAAGTGATCCTTCCCAATTTTTGGAAAGAGAAGCTATAGACTAGGAAGCCACAGGGTCCCTGGAAAAAAGAATTTTAGAGCTTCCCTGGTGCCGTGATGTGAGCAGCTCTCCTCCATGGGCTCTTGCCTGTGCCCTCTCTCTTTTTCTTTTTCTTTCCCCCCATGCCCTTTTTGGATTGAAGCTGTTGACTATGGACTGAAACCTCTACAAACTTTGAACCATGATAAACTTCTCCTTTAAGTTGTGGGTGTCTGGAATTGTGTTCCAGTGAGGAGGAAAATAACTAAAACACCGTTCCTCTCAGGTGTGTAAGATTTATTATACTGTAAACACTCATGCTGGACAAAAGTGATTGGCAGGGCATGCTGGCTGACGGTAGTACTCACTGTGAACGGAAGGTAAGAGGAGTAGGTCTCCTGCTGCAGGAGATTGCCCATTTGTGGGAACACGTGAGAACTTCAGGTCTCCTTATACATGAATGAATTGTTCCGTTCAGTAGCAACCAGCCTTGATAGAGATAAAAGAAATCACAGAGTAACTGAATCTCTCTCTCTCTCTCTCTTTTTTTTTTTTGGTACCGCGGATCGAACTTGGGTCCTTTGGCTTGCAAGGCAGAACCACTGAGCTAAATCCCCGGCAACAGTATTTACAGTGACAATGACAGGGTAGTTATTACTGACCTGATCATGATGATAATTATTGCTGGTGCGCTACCTCTCCTCGAGGGATTGATCACAAATGCCCTATTCCAAAATGTACCAAGACTTGAGGAACACTGGAGGGGAAGATTTCAGTACTTTGAAGATGTGAAATAATTTGTTGACAAAACTCCTGAATCTGGAAACATTACAGAAAACAATGAAGACTGAAAAAAAAAAAAAAAAAAAAAAAAACCCAAA